GCAGGGGCACAATCTCAGCTCATATGGGACTTTTTTGTATCGGCCCTCCAAAACTGCTGGAGGAAGAGCATTACAGCATGCTAGAGTTAGTGCCCTCCAAAATTTGGTGACATCTGTTTAAGTTAAGAAGGGAAGTTGGGTCTGTCTTCTTCTGATGGTTCTATTTGCTCCTGCTCTGGCTGAAAACATCTTTGGATGCACTTCAAGAAGGGTCTGAAAACATATTTAATAAAGCAGACTGATGGGCGAAAGTGGTTGTGAGCAGATGCTGAGAATGGCAGAAGGGCTGTTTTGTTGTATCAAATTAGTAAACTTAAATGATGGGTAGGTTTAGGATTTCATCATTATATAAATGTTATTTTTATTGTGATTGGAAATGGCATATCTTGATTTTATTGGTTTTTTCGGGGGGGGGCGTTAACTGGTGTTCAGTTTTTATTTGGTGGTTTTTCATTGCGACTGGACCATGCCCCAGTGAGGATGCATTGTAAGAAAACATTTTTGTTTGAAATGCTGTAATAATATAGCTGAGAAAGAAGGGCCAAGAACTCTTCCTTATGGCTGGGTTCTCTCCTGATGCCAAGCTCTGTTCTGCCTCGGTAACAGGGTTGGCAAATGATGCTGTGCTTGCAGCTTTCAAGATAAGCTAAGGAACTGATGGCTTTTCCTGGTGACATTTCCCCCTCCCACCCAATTTGACCTGCCAGTGGGAAAGACTGTCAATCATTCTCCTTAATATATGGTGGGATGTGATTGGGTAACTATGGATGGATGCCTAGGATAGAGGGTTTGGCTATCTTTCAAATTGACTGAGGGGTAGGTTGGTATTTCATGCTGGGAACCTGTCCTGGACTGTATCTGAATATAGGTCTACCACCGTGCTGTTGACCAATAAACCCTTGTAGAAAAGAGCCTGGTGATCAGTCACATGCATGAAGGAGGAGTGTGGGATGAAGCAGGAAGGAACTCTTTCTCTCTCCTTCTCCATGCCACCAGTGTGTGAGCCAGGATATTTTTGAACACAAGTCTAATATTTCCTGGGAGAGTCCAGTTTCAGAAACACTGGTCAGGGATCATGTTCAACCAGGTGTTTGGCCTCTCTTGAAGTTCCCAGTACCCAGCAACAGAAAGGAAAGGAGCATGGTTGCAGCAGCTTAGAATGGCCAATAGGAACTGGACAGAACCTTGGCTTGACATCACCATTAGTGTCATCTATGAGAGGTTGTAGATTGTGTGCATGACAAGACTTGGATCAAAAGAAGAAGGAAAACACTAGTTTAAAACTGGAATAGCTGAAATCAAATGTAAGCTGCTTCCATGGTGGACTGAGCATGAGGTGAAGGCAACATCATGAAGATGTGTCCTTTCAGAACAGTTTGTGGTGCATCTTTGTATTACTGTTAGAGGATCATCTTTAACATCCTTAATGTTAAGGATGATCCCCTAATTCATGTTTTGTGGTGGCATTTCCAAGAATTGGGCAGCTCTAATGATCCCGTTCCTCCCATTTCATGTCTTGCTGAGTTCAGTGTTCATGCAATGGGGACAAATCTGAAGATGGAGTCTTGAAAAACCCCATATGAATAAACCCCTGATCATACAGGTTTAATGTGATGGAACAGCCTCTGTACTTCCCTCTACTATGCAAATGGTGGAAGGAATGCCCTGGCAATAGGACATGACCACAGTGAGGGTATAGCCTCACTTCTCATCTCATCTGGCTCTATTTGTGCTTGAACAGACTGAGGGGTTTAAAATACATTGATCTTAAGAGTACAACTGCTTCAGCCTGTTCTTGTAATCCACAACCATATCTTGAGCATCCATGAAGCCAGTGCAGCTGAAAAACCTTGAAGAACAATTTTGTCCTTATTTGGTCCCTTTGGGTCAAGTAAGGTGCTTAGATTTAAAGCACGTTGCTTTCCACTGTCCTGCTGGA